TGCCCTGGGCAAATCTGCTAAAAAAAGACCTCTTTAAAATATTGAAGAGTAAAGATACATTTTTTAATACTAGGGTGCACCTAACCCAAACCATGGTATTTTCAGTCACCTCATATGGATGTGAAAGCTGGACAATGACTAAAGAAGCCAAAGAAGAGCTGATGCTTTTGAGTTGTGGTGTTGGCAAAGAATACAGAAAGTACCATGGACTGCCAGAACTGACAGATCTGTCCTGGAGGAAGTGCACCCAAAATGCTCCTTGGAAGCCAGACTTCATCTCACCTATTTTGCTCATGTCAGACCCTCTCCATTCCCTGGAGAAGGATATCACACTTGGTAAAGTGGAAGGTCAGTGAAAAATGGGAAGGCCCTTAATGAGATGGATTGACACAGTGGCTGCAGCGATGGGTTCAGGTACAGCAAGGATTGCGAAATGCCACAAGACTGGACAGTGTTTTGTTCTGTTGTACACAGGGTTGCTATGAGTTGGAGCCAACTCAACAGCACCTAACAACCACAACAACAATCTATGAATAAGTAGTACGAATAGAAAAGTACTTCAAGGGAAATTGTTCATGTATTAATAATGAGTTGTGACTTCATCATTCATTTTCAGCCTTTTTTCTGCTTTTCTATATTTTTCATAATTTGAAATTAGAAAAAAAAATACTTGATTAAAATTTTTTTTCACCCAACACACTGTATTCTATTGGCCATCTCTGCCTGCTAAAGTGATGGGAGTCTCTGGGCAATATTAGTCAGAAAGAAATATGGCACCTACTTGATCTCAGACTGTCCACATGGCTTCTTCCTAGAGAGGTTGAGCAGGTCTTTGCCATATTTCTCTTCAATTGATGCCCTAAAGGGAACAGAAGAGAGGGTGATGAATCCTTCTTGAGTGTGATCCACAGCTGAGACACCCTAGGTGCTCTGCTTGAAGACAACTGCACCTTTTGACAGTAGATACTCAGCTACAATACCATTCTCTAAAATGCAGTCCTCTGACTTGCCTGAAAACCAAAAGAGCTTAATCTACAAGGTGGTCTTTGCCAGCTAGGAGCCAGAGCATAGACTCTACAGCAAAACTGAGCATGGCTCCCTGGCCACCACAGGTTAGTATTTTACAGACTAACTGTTCAAAACCATCACCGAAGATTTTTTTTTTTTTAAAGGGAGTTGAGTAAAAGGTATTTCCATCAGATGCTACACCTGCCAATGAGGCCCTATCTTTTCTAAACATGCCCTTTCAGTTCAAATGCACGTATAAATAGTGCCAAAAAGAATGGGAATTTCAGAATCTAAACTCTACAGTTGGCAGGTCTCACAAAAAGAGCTGATTGGTTGCTCAGTGTTGCACAAGCCTAAAGCATTGAACATTCCCCTTGCCCCCACCCCATGTTCTCTGTCCCACATCCACTTCTTGTCCTAGTCTTGTTGTGAGGTACCATTGAGTTGGTTCCAACTCATAGCAACCCTGTGTACAACACACAAAACACTGCCCAGTCCTGTGCCGTCCTCACAACCATTGCTGTGCTTGAGCCCATTGTTGCAGCCACCATGTCAATCCATCTCACTGACCCTTTGCCAAGCATGATGTCCTCCAGGGATTGGTCCTTCCTAATAACATGTCCGAAGTTTAAGGGGCTTCAAGCTAGTCTAAGGAGCCTGGTGAGCAATAGTTAAGTACTTGGCTGCTAACCAAAAGGTTGGTGGTTTAAACCCACAAACAGCTCTGCGGGAGAAAAACGACAATTTGCTTCTGTAAAAATCAGCCTGGAAAAGCCTATGGGGAAGTTCTACTGTGTCACATAGGATCACTATGAGTCAGCAACAACAGGCTAGTCTACCCCACTTTGTTTAAAAATTATACAAGTAATAAACAAATACATTCTTACTGCAAAAGATTCAAGCAACACAAAACTATGTACAAAAAGGTCCCCCTTACACTCTTCTCCAATCCCATATCTCTCCCCAGGGACAGTCACTATTCAGTTTGGTGTATATCTTTCCATCTTTTTCTCTACATTTGCATACCTATTATTTCAAATATAAACACCTACATACAATTCTTCACGTTTGCATCATTGATAGCATTCTATTATTTGCTGCTCTGTAATTTGTTTTCCCCCTACTAATACATCATATAGAATTTTTCTTATCGGTGCAGACAGATTTACCCATGCTTATAATATGGAGTTTTCCATAGTCAGGGGTCTCCCTTTTTGTTTCCATTTTTTCACTACCATCAGGAAAAAAAAAACCTAGATGAACATTCTTGCACCAGTATCCTTGAGCACATCCAAGAATGTGTCTCTAGGGTACATTTCTGAAAGTACATTTACTAGATCAGAGGATGTGCATTTTAAATTTTGACAAAAGGGCCAAATTACCATCCCCCCAAAATTATGTCAATGTATATACTTCCACTAAGAGTGTATAAGAGCGCCCATTCCCATGAACCTTCACCCACAGGTGATAGTTAACAATCTTTTTTCATTGTTGGCAATCTGAGGAAGGTAAAAAGAGAATCTCTGGTTTTGATGCATATTCCACTGATTTCTTGTGAGTTTGTGCATCATTTCATATATTTGTTGGGCATTTGTAATTCTTTGCCTATAAGTTATCTACTCATATCCCTCTCAGTTGTTTAACTGAATATATTGTTTTCTTCCTATTATTTGGTAGGAGTTATCTACATATTATCAATATTAATTCTTATTCTTACATATGGGACAAAGTTTCTCCCCTTCTGTCATTTGTCTTTTCTAAATAATGTCTTTCTCCATTTTATGAAAGTGATGCATGCTCATTATTTTAAAAATAAGCAAAAGGAAGTACAAAGAAGAAAACAATAAACCATCCAAAATTCTACCACCTAGAAATAATTAGAATTAACCAAACCAAAAGGAAAAAGAAAAGAAAAAATAAAAAATCTCACTGCCATTGATCATTCCTATTATTGCCACCCTTGAGGACAGAGTAGAACTGCCCCATAGGGTAATCTTCACAGAAGCAAATTGCCACATCT